GGATTAGAGAGAAAGAAGATTATTTAAGTAAACAACAGGCTAACATGTTTTACTTTTTTATTAGTAGTATTGATTACACTACATACAAATTGATTTCTGTTGTGAGTATAAAAACAAACAAAAATTATTGTTATGTTTGGTCACATTTTCAAAGAGCCACTGCAGAGGGACCAAAGAGCCACATGTGGCCCCAGAGCCGCAGGTTGCAGACCCCTGCTCTAGTTAATCATGTTGACCTTCTGTGAAGCATCAAATGACTGAAACTATTAGAAATAAACAATATTTAAAGATAAAAAATCAMGGTAAAAAACAGAAACTGTTAATGAGAACAGTTGATGTGCTCCAGTGACCTCACTCCTCAAAAACTTTGAAGCTTTGTTTTTCTACGTCTTCCCTGTTCTTTTTAATTTATGTCTGACTTTTCTTTCCGTCCTCCTCCCATCTTTCCTCGTCTCAACCCTGCAGGCAGAGCAGGCCAGCCTGTCCCATGTGGTGGACCTCCTGTCTCTTCTGGTGGTGACCGCCATCTGGGTCCTGTGTCCTGCAGACAGCCTGGCAGTGCTGGGAGGCTGGGCCAAGGACAAGCTSACAGAGGTGACTCCTAACTCTTCATCTGATTATCTGGAGTTACAGGCTGTAAAAGACATAAAACACACCCTCAGTAAAAGAGTTTAAAACTTAAATGTGCAGGAAGGCTGAAGTTTTAAAYACTCAAATGTCTCTTTCTTTTGTCCAGCTGATCTTCAACCATCCTTACAGTCGGAAACTGGAGGCCGAGGCAGATCAAGTGGGACTGCAGCTAGCTGCTAAGGTCTCCCAACCACACATCTTTCATCTGTTTGATTTATTTGTCCGTTTTAATAACGTCACAATTTGGACTCTGGTCTGAAAAGTTTAAAATGAAATCATGAATTGAAAACGTAATGTTTGAACGTTTATCAGAACAGACTCACACTGTCAGAAAGAGTCTAAAGTCTGTAGTTATTACCTCCTTTTAAAACACAGCCTTGATTTGATTTAAAGACAGAGGATAATAAAACAAACACCTCTTCTTCTGATGCCGACATGTTGTCTTTGAAGAAATCATGAGTTTATTACTAAAGTTAGTCACTGAAAACTTTAAAACACAAAGAGAAATAGAAAATGAGACACAAAGTATAACTAAAAAACAGAGTTGTAAAGTAACTAAGTAAAATTTTTTTGTTACTGTACTTAAGTAGAAATTTTGGTTTTCTGTACTTTACTTGAGTAATTATATTTCAGTGTACTTTTTACTTTTACTCATTACATTTTTACA